GCGTTTAAAGTTTTGACTTATGGTAGGGGAAAACGTTTAACACAATAAGTTCAATAAGTTTCTATATACAGTCAACAGAATGGATGACATAAAAACACCTCTCCTAATCCGGCAGAACGGGCCTTTCTACCTGCTTAGCGACGACTCTCTATTTTCTGGTATAACTTCCAAACGAAGTTAGGTACCGAGAAATCGTTTTAGACAGACATTAGGAAGGGTACAAAGATTAAAAAAATGCAATAAAATTTTTTTCGAATTTTTGGAAATAATCAGGGTGGGGTCCCCCCTTAATACTCAGACGCAAATTTTAAATTTGTAAATTGAAAAATAATTACAAATTTAAGCTATATTGTTTGAATCTTATATTTTAAGCCGATGGACTTACTCTTTCTCTCGAATGGAGAAATTAGCATTTTGCCGGACATAGATGTTCACTTTAAAAGCATCTTTGAAAAGAAAAAGGAATCGCAAGGAGAAATTTTAAAAGTCCCTTTTGTATTTAGTTACAATATATATTAACATCGAGTCCCCTGATTAAAATAGCCTTTTTTTGTCCGTAAAATTATACTATGTGACAATTAAGAGAGTTTCGAGTTATTTACAATATATATTAACATCGAGTCCCCTGATTAAAATAGCCTTTTTTTGTCCGTAAAATTATACTATGTGACAATTAAGTGAGTTTCGAATTTTACAATTTGATGGGCATAACCATTTCGAAGTTCGTTCAAAACGGGGCATGATATCTTTAGATGGAATACGTGGATGCAAAAAATGTACTTAAAACTTTATTTTCAAAACATTTAAATGATTCAAAAGCCAATCGATGCATATAAAAATAACAGTTTATATCAAAATGTTCTTAAAATGTGCATGAAATTACAAATTTTTATTAACGAATAATTTTTGCTTTATGAGAGTAAGAAGCGTATAAAATTTTTGAAATAGCGGTTACTGCTACAACTATTTTTCTTCATTACAAAAGTAAATTTTACGCTTGCAATGTATGGTAAATTGCACCATACAGTACAAAATACATCTATAACAGAAAAAATAAATTAGATTTAAATTTACATTAAAAGGAATCTGCACATTATGGTATCAATATTAGCGATTTTAGATTCTTAGAAACACACTTGAAAAAAATGATGTGAGAAAAAAATGTAAAGTATAAAATTCGTTTTAATTTAAATATTTTGAATTAATTTGTTTGAGCCCCCCTGTCGGGGGAGACTTGACCCCTTGTCGGGCAGAACTTGATATATTTCCTAAAAAGTTCCCGCTGTGCTTTCCACCACCTCAGCTTATAATAATAACAGCTTAAAATAATAAGCCTTTAGTTAAATGCTTATATCTTCTCGAAATTATATTTAAATACGATTATAAAGAGATATACACCAATAACTTGGTATATGGGTGATTCTCACGAAACATGACAATTCACTGTCCCTTGCACCAAGATCTAATACTATAATAATAAAGTAAAAAATTTTTTTAAAAATTAATAAATAGTATTGCTGATAGCATTTTAAAATGACTTTGCACTAGCATTAACTGTTTTGTATAGTTAAGAAATTTAATTGAATATCAAAATGTCATTTTCCTGGCAATGTCCCAAACAATGTTTCCAATAATAACTAGCTTCAAAACTTCCCATAAATTTTTCAATATCTAATTTTTTTAAATCTCAACCGGTGTAAGCATCTCTAGAATACACGCAGAGGGTATTATTTAAAAAAACTTCGTTTAAATAAGTTTTTTCTGTCAATAATTTGTTTGTCCCAAGAAAATCTGTCATTTTCTTGGCTACTTTTATTTAGTGGTTTATAACCGAAATAGATAGAGCCAGTAATCAATATCTTATGTTAATAGATTGCTTAGATACCCTCCTATATGAACATGTCTTGTTGCATGAATAAAGAACCAATTTTTCTGGGTCAAAATCTATTTAAAAAAATTTTTTCAAGGTGAGTAGGTTTTTGTGTAGTCATTTTCTTGACTTCTTGAAATCATTGATAACATAAAGTAGATAGATTTATCTGAGTTATTTTGAGAAATCCAGCTGTTTTTTGCAGAATATAAACGTCTTAGGCAAAAATATTAAATTAAAATAAAGTTATATGCTATAAAATGGCGAATTTGTCATTATCCTGGCTGTCATTTTCCTGACTTATGAATGCCTGGCTTATGAATTTTTTACAATATTTGAAGTGTCCATTTTATGCTAGCTATATTTTTCACCAAAGAAAACCTTTTATTTATATGCTGCATTTTTTTAATGAAATTTTTATTCAGATGCAGTGTAGACGGATCATGGGTTGAAGTCCCTTTACCGTCAGGCTAACCGTGGGGTATTTCGTAGTTTTTCCTCTCCAGGCAACACAAATGAGATTTAGTTCCATCAAAAAACGAAGGCAAATTTCTTCCGAAACTTGATCCAAGAGTTCCCTTGTCTTCTGGGTTGAGTTCAAAATCACAAGACTATGGAGTTCATCATTGGTAGTCGTAAACTCAAACTTGGGCCAGATATTCAACGATGGTTATAAAATGAAATAACACTACAAGACTCGCCTGGCAGGACTTATCATTATCAGTTGGCAGTTAATGGTTATTTGGAGCTGAATATACTTATGGAACTGTTTAGTTGTTAATTTCTAGTATTATTGCTAAATTTCTCATAAATTTTTCACATTCTGATTTATTAACATTTTACTTAATTTATGAACATTTCAACAACAAGTTATGAAACAAAATATTTAATATTCAACTTCATTTAAGAATTTTATAATGTGTTAACTTGGGAATTTAAAATCCCGGTGGATTTTATATTCATACGATCAACAACTTATAAATTGTATTAAAAATATTATTGAGTTATTTTATGTGCATGGTTTGCTTTCTTCACTACGGTAGTCTATAATTTTCTTATGTATGCTGTTTATTTTTTTTGCAGATATGTCCAAAAGATAAGGCTTGACAGTTAATCTTGACATTTAAAAAAATTAAAATTGTGTGAAATGAAATTCCATCAAATCCTGATACATTTGAATACAAAATACACAAAAATACATAATTACAAGAAAAAAAATATTGCCATTGCAAATAATAATAACAAATTTAAATTTATTTCATTATAAATGTAGTTCACTTTTTAATGTTTTTAATTAATCTTTAAAAAAAAAAATATGCGAAAGTATTTGGTCATTCCTTATCTTTTTTGATGGTATAATTTCTGCCCTTAAAGTATCATCAATTATGTACGAAATCCCGACACTACTTTTAAGTCCCAAATTAAAAATTCCATTGAAATAATTAGAAAATAATATTGAAAGTTAAAAAAAAAAATTGTCAAACTGTATAATAACTATAATTTTATAAAGAAAAAAAAATTTTACGAATTTTTGATATTTTTTCAATGATTTGCAAATAAAGCGTTTAATAAATTTTATATACAGGTATGTTGTACAGGTACGTACTAGAAATATAGGAACGTGTAACCACAGGTGGTTTGGGCTGACGCTGACCAAGGACACACCACATTGTCTCCAATTTCTACATAACCACCATAAGAATCATTTTTCATCGAAGTATGCACTTTTTTCAGTGAGAAATTTGCAAAAAATTTGTAACTTACTGTTCGAAGCATACTAGTTTAAAAATGGACACAATTAGAATCTAGTTTAAAAATAGAACCATACAATAAAACCATACACAATAGAACAATTTATCCCGGTTTTTTTTTTCTAGGAGTAAATTCTTATGTTTGATTGCAACTTATAACAAAAATTACAATTTAAAAGCAAATTTTAAACTACATATTCAGATATATGCTTGTAGTAATTCTAGCATTTCTTTAAAAAGTTCTTCGAAGCAAAATTTTTTAGTCATTTAATCGTATATATTAATACTATTAGGAGATATTTTTCCACTTTAAATTAAGCAATTTAACTATGTTTCACATGCAAAAATTACACAATTAAACATTAAATAATAAATCTAAATATAATTTTCCTAACAAAAGTTTCGTAAATTTTAAAATCACTCATACGCTTAAGAATGAGCTTCAGTTAAAAAACAATATAATCCAAAATAATTTAACTTCAAAATAGAATAAAAAATTAAAATACGACGATAAATAAACGAAAGTAAAACTTAGGTATTAAAGAAATACGGCTTTTTAAAATAAAAGTGTTGTTTTTTTTATCATTCCCTATTTTTAAATGTAAATAAATACATCCATATAGTATCAATATTAAAGATGTTCATAAAATAAATATTTACAGTTTGTTTATTAGTACAGAATCAGTTAGGAAGTTTATTCTAATTCTACAAAAGTTCAGAAAATATATTTTAAGGATGCATAATGTTACAAATTTCATAAATTTAAAAAAATAATACTTTTCTTTAAATATTCTAAAATTCTTTTATGTATAATTTAAGCACAATTTGATTTGTGTACTTTTAACATTAATATTTCCTAGTTTTTAATAGCAATACAGTTGTCCCCACTTAATTGCATATCAGATAATCGAATAACCGGCCTGTGTAGGGGTTAGGGAACTGCCCTTGCATCAGAAAGGTTCTGGGTTCAAATCTCGGGCAAGGCATGGATGATCTTTCCTTCTCTGTACTATCTGTCCTCACTGTGGGAGCAACGTTGGCCCACCTAATATGGTGCCCCTGAAAGAGAGGCCAACAAATCTGCCCTGTAAATGCCTGAATTGACGGATGTTAACACAGGTGGGCATTGGAGAGAAAAAAATAATAATCGAATAACCTGTTTATACGAATAAAATTTAATTGAAGTGAATTATTGTTAAGAAATCAATTTTAAATTTCATCGTTTAAAGAATTATTTATTGTTGGCAGTTCTCGCTTTAATTGCATTAAAAAAGTGGAGGGAAAAAAAGAAAAAAAAAACAAAAAAATTTTAAGAAATGTTTCACCAGCCGGAATGAATTTCACTTTTTCATTAAAAAAAATAATAAAACAAACTTTTCAATAGATATTTCCTGCCCAGTTGCAGATCCAAACAGGTCTGGAGGTATTTTAAACATTCATCAGTTCTTGTTAACAGTTATGTTTAATACAATAATATTGTTACAATAATTAAAGGAGTTTTTGCCCTTAGACACACTTCACTCACACGCCATTCCGAAAATGTTCAGTTGAATGGCAAAACTGCGTCCAATTACGGATTTCTTTCGAAGAGATTAAATAGTGTTGTAATATGTATTAGTCACACATTTTATTAACATGGATTAATATTTATATAAATTTAAAAGGCATTTATTATAGTGACACTAACAGTTCTACTTATAACTGTTTATTGATCATTAAAATGAGTTTATTTCTTTAGAACATTATGCTATATATTGCATATTATTTCATGGAGATAGACAGGACATATATGTACTGCATTTGAAACAGGGTTAATATTTGTATAAATTTAAATCGCATGTATGTTTTATTATACTGACTCTAAGTATAATTGCTTATTGATCATTAAAATGAGTTTATTCCATAAGAACATTATGTTCTATATTGCATACGGTCTTATGGAGATGGACAGAACATACACTTCATTTAAAACGGGAAAGCCCTGCTATCATTGCACTTATAGAAAAGGAAGAGAAAAGGTATGTAAGGTGTTAACCATTAAGATATTCCTTGATCATCTACTATCAGCATCTTCTACTGTATTGGAAGATTTATACTGTAATAATTATGTAATAGTGAAATATAATTTTGTAGCTATTGAAAAATTTATTGTAAATAAATTGAAAAATATTTCCTAATTTTAAAAGCTATTCTTGCATTGTAAAATACATCTATTTAAAATCATGATTTCTTGGATGGAAAAAAATCAACTTACCTAGTTTTTAACATTCAAATACTG